GTAGTTTTTTAGTAGAGACGGGGTTTCACCATGTTGACCAGGATGGTCTCGATCTCTTGACCTCGTGATCCACCCGCCTCGGCCTCCCACAGTGCTGGGATTACAGGCTTGAGCCATCGCGCCCCGCCTTAATCAGTTTTTTAACTTGTCAATCTTTCTCTTGGATCTCTTCTACCCCTCTGACATTCTCTCATAAGAACTGGTATCCTGGCCAGGCATGATGGCTCATGCCTGTAAACCCAGCACTTTGGGAGGCCGAGACAGGTGAATCACAAGATCAGGAGTTCAAGACCAGACTGGCCAACATAGTGAAACCCTGTCTCTACTAAAAATACAAAAAATTAGCTGGGCATGGTGGCAGGTGCCTATAATCCCAGCTACTCAGGAGAGGCTGAGGCAGAATCACTTGAACCTGGGGGGTTGGGGTTGCAATGAGTGGAGATTGTGCCACTGCACTCCAGCCTGGGCAACAGTACAAGACTCTGTTTAAAAAAAAAAAACAACAAAAAACAAAAAAGAAGAATTGGTATCCTCCTATCCTCCACAAAATGTCTTACTTACCAATATATATTAAAGAGAGGTGACCCTTAAAAAGTGCAGAGCAGGGTTAAGGGGAGACTGATGCTTATTTTACACATTCTGTATTCACAAGCCTCCCACTGAGCTTCTGAACTGTGCATCTTAATTGTTCACTAGACAGCTTCAGAGGCATCGAAAAATGGATGTGCTTCAAAATGAAACTATTCCTCATTCAAAACTTAGCTTATGTTTGGACCTCCCAACACCCAGATAGAGAAAATGGACCTGTACATACTGTGATCATGGCATTTATGACTGCACTGTAACTTTTTTCTTTCTTTTTTTTTAATTGGGGGACTTAATATAGCTCTGAATCTAAGGCTGCCCTGTAACTTAAGTGTGTGTGAATTTCTTGAATAGGGATAATATCGTCTTCCCCTCTTTATACCTAGCATAGCGTCTGACACACATAAGTGCTCAATGATTTTTATTTTAGCAAACTGTAGTAATTTCCATACATTATTTTTTACAGCAAACATTGCAGGATACATTTCCGTACTTTTTTTTTTTTTTTTTTTTGAGATGCAGTCTCCTTCTGTTGCCCAGGCTGGAGTGCAATGGTGCGATCTAGGCTAACTGCAACCTCTGACTCCCGGGTTCAAGCGATTCTCTTGCCTCAGCCTCTGTAGTAGTTGGTATTACAGGCATCCACCACCACGCCCAGCTTTTTTTTTTTTTTGTATTTTTAGTTGAGACGGGGTTTCGCCATGCTAGTCAGGCTGGTCTCAAACTTTTAACCTCATGTGATCTGCCCCCCTCGGCCTCCTAGAGTGCTGGGATTACAGGCGTTGGCCACCGTGCCCGGCCCATTTCCATGTTTTAAAAGAATAAATAGAGGAGGAGGAAGAGAAGGGGAAAAAAAGCATGAATGAATAAATAAATAAATGTGTGGAGCACTCAACTCCAGAATCACACCGATACTTCTAGGTCTAATGGTCACACGTCAAAATCAGTCTCAGTTATCCCATTGTTTTCACATCTTAAGACCTAGCAATGGGAACACGGAATTGTAGGAATACGTTAGGATTTCTCAGTTCCCAAATTTTTCTGTGTGAGACGTTTCTGCTAACTCTAACACGGTTTGTGTAAAATGTTCGTGATTTGCGGGTGGATTTAAACCACCTCAGATCTATAACCTCTGAGATAAGTGGGCCTGAGCTTCCAGAATGCCAGCTGCCACTTATCCCTCCCAGAGACCAGGGGTAATTGTGGTCCTGATGTAGCCAGAAGTCCTCCTACCCTGTGGTGCTTATTTAACAGCTAAAATAAACCAACCTAGGAGCTAGCTAACCAGTGCAGAGGGCAGGGACACTTGCTGTGCAGAACACACCTGGCCTAGCCAAGGGTGACAAGGTCCTGGCTTCAGAAACAGGCCAGTCACATAAACAGTGAAGAAGGGCGCAGGTGGAGGAGGACAGCAGGCCACTGCCTGCGGCCTTCACATTTAAGTTACACAAAAATGCATTTCCAAGTGAGCAGAGCTCTCGGGCTGCCCGCTTGCGACCACTGTTCCAGTTAGTCACAAGAACAGGGCGAAGGAGGTGACAACAGTAAGGAAAATAAATCCTTAGGACGGTGAGTTCGGAAAACGACTTCTTCAGGGTTCCCAGGTGCCCGTTTCAACTGGGGAGGGCGGAACAAAACCCCTTTATTTTCGGGTCTGTGCAGGGTCCCCACTAGGCAGGCGCAGCCCTTGAGTTCCCGATTGGTCGGTTATTAGGCGGCTCCCGGCAAAGCACCGCCCAATGCCTGCACTCAAAGGAGGAGCGTCTGAGGAACGCTTGGGAGGCGTGAACTGAGGCGGCGCTGCGGAAGCTGAGGAGGGCAACGCGCGGGAGTAGGGGCGAGGAGCGTGGTGGCGGCTGCGGCTGGCCGCTCAGAGGACCCGGGCGGAGGTGTCTGAGAGCAGGGCCGCCGGCGCTCCCGACCAGCTCTGAGCAGGCGCCGTGGCAGCCCCCGCGCCTCCCCTGCCCGCCATCCGCCGTCGCCAGGACGCAGGCTCGCGTCAGGGCGGGCGACTGGGCTCGCGGCCGTCGGCCTGGCGTCTCCACCACCAGCAGTCTGCCTCGCCGCGACTTCCCCGCTCCCGACCTGCCGGGCCCTGACCCTGGCGGAGGTAACTGCCCGCTGATTCCTTCCCCCGCGACCCTAGCCTCCTCTTACGCCCCTGGACCCGGGGGTCCTCGGTCTCCCCTCAGGCACCCTTCTGTGGGGCAGTCGGCGACCTCCCTCCTCCCGCGCCGTCTCCGCCGCACCCGGCCCTAGTCTATCCCCACTACCCAGTCGGGGCCCGTCCTCGCTGTGGGCCTCCCCCAGCTTCCTGGCGTTGCGGGCTGACGGGGTCGCCCGGCCGGCGTGGGCGGTGCCAGGTTCCGGCCACACCTCGGCCCCGGACTCGAGCGCCCCAGCTCCCGCCTGACTACCAGGCTTCTCGAGCAGGATCCATAGGAATAGAACGTGTAATTTCCCTCACTGTTAGCAATTTTAAGAGTGACTAGTGGATTTAGGGCATGTCAGTACATAAAGTTCCCAGTCTTTTTTCACTCAATAATTTTAGCAGCACTGATACAATGACTGGATTTATTTCATGAGGAGCTGCAAATGATGCTTTTATAATGCCGGCGTTCCTCTTGTATTTGGTTAATCCTTGTAAAAGAATTTATTTTATTTGTAATTTTATTTGTTTATTTTTGAGCCGGAGTTTTCTCTACGTTGCCCACGCTGGAGTGCATTGGCGCTCACAGGCGCAATCACTGCTCGCTGCAGGCTAGAACTCCGCTGTTCTCAAGCGGTCTTTCCACCTCAGCCTCCGTGCTGGCTGATAGCTAGCATCTTGATAGATCTTTGTGTACTGTTGGCCGGGCGTGTTGGCTCAGCCTGTAATCCAAGCACTTTGGAGGCCAAGGCGGGCAGATCACCTGAGGTCGGGAGTTCAAGACCAGCCTGACCAACAGGGTGAAACCCCATCTTTAATTAAAAAAAAAAAACCTCTTTCCTCCCCTCCTGCTTCCAGCCAAAAAGAAAAAAAAAAAAAAAAAAAATCTTTGTGTGCTGTCTCTGACTAGTTTTTCTTTTAATGCTATTTTACTTTTTAAAAAAACAGCTATTTAGGTCTGGCACGGTGGCTCACGCCTGTAATTCCCGCACTTTAGAAGGCCGGGGTGGGCGGATCACGTGAGGTCAGGAGTTCGAGACCAGCCTGGCCAACATGGTCAACCCCAACTCTACGAAAAACAATACAAAAATTAGCCAGGCATGGTGGCCCATGCTTGTAGTCCCAGCTACTTGGGAGGCTAATGCAGGAGAATTGCTTGAACCTGGGAGGTGAAAGTTTGCAGTGAGCTGAGATCACACCACTGCACTCCAGCTTGGGTGACAGAGTAAAACTATAAATCAAAAAAAAAAAAAAAAAAGTGAATATTATGGACCACTTGTTATTATTATTACTATTATTGTTTACAGAATCTTGAGACTTTTTATCTAATTGGTCATTGATATCTTAACAAACATGGAGGTAAGATTAGAAATTTTGACATCAACAAGCATTAAGCAGAAAAGACCATGGCCACGTGTCTCCTGGTTGGGAAAGGTAGGTTTTTTCCCTTTTTTTTAAAATTCGTGCAGTACCAGTTTTATATATGTTGCATGTGTGTTTTGCCTGTAATATAGGAGTGTTCTATGATCTTAAATAAATAAAACGTTATTTACTGGAGAGGATATACAGGAGGATCACCTACCTGTACACTGAACAGGATTTTGTGTATGTGTTTTCATTATAATGAACAAGTTAGCTTTTCCAGAATGTTAAGTGGTTTGTTTAGAAGAAGACTTTAAAAATATATATATATTTTTCACATTATGTTTAAGTCAAGTTTAAGTTAAGTTGAGATGGCATATATCAAAAGGGAATATTTAATCTCCTGAGCTTTCCTTTACCGGAACAGCCGATGAAGTGTTTCCTCTTGTTGTGGTTTTCATGATTGTTCTATAAAGTGTTCTTGGAACTAGAATGGAAGAACTGGGCCACAATACGTTAATAATCCAGGAATGCCATTCATAATATATGACATAGAGTCCCCTTTTAGGGGATGTAGGCAACTCTACTGTATGTATAATGATTATTGAAATAAAGTGTTAAATTTCCTGTGAGAAATTATGCCACTAATTAACTCCCCTAGAATAGGAGTTCTCAAACTTTACAATATATCAGAATTATCTGGAGAGGTAGTTAAAACACAGATTGCTGGGCCCCACTCCCAAAGTTTTCAAAGTTAATTAGGTCTGTGGTAGGGTTGGATATTTTGTATTTCTAATGGGTTCTAAGGTGTTGCTGATGCTGCTAGCTCAGTTTTGCTTTGAAAATCACTGCCTTAGAATATATGAAAACAAGGTTAATTCAAAACAGCTCACTTTTTCCAGGTAATAAAAAATGAGCAGAGTCACGGGTTTATGAATTTCAGAAGCTATATCTATTTTAATTGAAATAAGTAAGTAAAAAACTTGTCCATACTACTGTTAAAATTGATGAGAATCAGGTACAGTGGTACACACCTGTGGTCTCAGCTACTCAGGAGGGTGAGGTGAGAGGATTGCTTGAGCCCAGGAATTCTGGGCAGCAGTGTGCTGTACCAGTTAGGTGTCCGCACTAAATTCAGCATCAATATGCTGACCTCCTGGGATGGAGGGGCTGGGATGACCACCAGGTTGCCTAAGAATAGTGAACTGGTCCAGGTCAGAAACGGAGCAGGTCAAAGCTTTCATGCTTATTGGTAGTGGGATAGTGCCTATAAATATCTATTGCACTCTAGGCTCGGCAACAAAGTGAGACCTCAGCTCTTAAAAAAGATTTAAACAGTAGACAACCCAGCTTTGGCTAGCAGAATTGGAAGACACTCCTATAATTTTAAGCTTCGAAGAAATTGAAATATAACTATTAGGTCACCTAACCTAGTAGTTCCAATGAGGTATTTTAAAATACAATTAAAAATGTTCAGGTTACTATAGAGCATCAAGCTGAATTTTCATTTTATGATTTGTGGTAGAAATGGATAATCTTTCTTAAATGTCGCTTTCGTTTCTGAGATTATTTAGGCAGTAGGTTGAATTAATTTCTGGCACCTCTTGAATCCTTCACATGTTTCTTCTCTTAGGAAAAAGAAGCTGTTTTTCTTTTGGATGATAAATTTGTAAATGAAATTAATTTGCTATCAGGAAAGGTAAAGAAGAAAATTCCTAGTCTGCAACCTTTGTTGAAGGATGCTATTGTCCTAACAACGTCCAGTAATGGTTAAGTAGTACTGATATTTTCAAATGGCTAAAAATGTATTTTTTTAATAACTAAGGGTGATGTTAAGGAAGGTATTAGAAGTATTTCATTTCATTTTTGGAAACAGATGCCTGGCTGGCTGGGATACTCATTACAGGAGAGCTTTTTCTTTGGAACAAAGATCAAGATTGTTTGAAAACTATACCAATAACTGAAAAGCCTAAGGAAATGATCAAAGCTACAGTAGGTGGGAATTCTTTGTTTGTTAAATTGGTTTAACTAGGAGAAATAGGAAAAGAGGTTGAAACATTTTTCTGTTATTGTCTTGAAAATATATTTCTGTATATGTGCATATGTATATCTGCTTGTATATATATTTCTGTATATATATGTGTGCGTGTGTGTGTGTGTGTATGTGTGTGTGTTTATTTTTGGTCGTGTTTGTGATACCGAGACTCAACTTGAAGAAGAAAATTCTGACATGCCTAACATATCTGTAATAATAATAGGTTTCTAATATCACATAATAAGTACTTGATAAATGTTGCTATTTTTTGTACTTTTTTTTTTTTTTTTCTTTTTTAGAGACAAGATCTTGTTCTGTCACCCAGGCTGAAGTACAGTAGCATGAGCATAGCTCAGTGCAGCTTTGACCTCTTGGGCTCAAGCAGTCCTTCTCCTTAAGCCTCCCAAAGTGCTGGGATTATAGACAGGAGCTGCTGTGCCTGGATTGTATTTTTAATTTTTTTGCTAGTGCCTTAGTTTTGAAATCCTGAATGGTAACATTATTTGGGTTTCTTATTGTAAGAATACCCAAATTATATACTTTTCTCAGGGGAATTCAGACTTCAGAAGTTTAATTAGTTTTTTGTTTTTTTTTTTAGCAAGCTCTTTGAGACCATACTTGTATGTATCTGGAAATGGGAAAAGAATTCTGCTCATAACACCTTCTGGATGCATATTTCTTTGGGAATATTTGGAATTAAAGAATATCTTGGCTTCTAAAAGCCTTTCATTGGTGGGTCAGTGGTCCCAGGTCATACCTGAAGAAGCAGTTCTCTTGCCTTCCACTGAAGATAAAGAAGCTGTAGTGAATGCTGTTTTTATAAAAAACGAGGTAAAGTCAGTCTCAGACTCAATCTGTAAGCTGATTAGCAGAGTATGTAATGGTATAACTATATATCTTTAGTCACCATAAATTGTCACAGTAATTGTGAAATTCTTGTATGGAAAAGATATTTTGTATTTCTTGGGTCACACTTTTAAAAAGTGTTTATTAAAAGTAGTTTTAACTTAGAACTCCTTTTCTCTAGCCTTGATTTAAAATTATAGCTTGTTTAGTAATTTAACAAGCTAGAACTGGTCATACTAAACACACCATTTAACTGGGAAATACAGATTCATGAACTTTAAAAAAACAAAAAACATTTAAAATAGCTGTTTGATATTCTTTGTATGTATGGACCAACATTTCATTATCTAAACCACTATTGTTAGAAATTGCATTTTAAAATTTTATTGTCCCCCCCAGCCCCGTGGTGCCCTAATTTAAATAATATAAAAGTATAAAAAGAAAAATAAATATAAGAATGTTTCCATTTGTAGCCACAATAAATGTCAGTATTTTTTAAGACCATTAGCCACAACCTGATTACCCATTTGAGACCTGCCTCTGGCTCAGAAAAAAATTAATTAGTCTTTACCTTAATGTTAAAAATAAAAAAGAAAAAGGAAGATCTCAATATTTTTTACTAGTTTATGATGAATATATTTATATATTTTTTGTGTCTTGATTTATTTTTTGATTAATTTCATACTAAAATACATTAAATTTATCTACAGTTATTTGGAGACTGCTGCCTGTGTTCATTTACTTTTTATTCTGGGGAGTGCTTGAAGTTAACATTTCTAGCAATTCGATGGCATGAGAATGTATTTACATCTATAAGGTGAGGTAAATGTTTTCTTGCTCCTTATTTTCTTACTGATTTTTGTTTTCTTTTGGAGGCAGGGTCTTGCTCTATCACCCAGGCCGGGGTTCAGTGGCACAATCATAGCTCACTGCAGCTTTGAATCACTGGGCTCAGGCAGTCCTCTCGCCTCAGCCTCCTGAGTAGCTGTGACTATAGGTGTGTGCCACCATGCCTGACTAATTTTTAATTTTTATTTTTTAACAGACAGGGTCTTGCACTTCTGGGCTCAAGCAGTCCTCCTGCCTTGGCCTCCCAAAGTGCTGGGATTACAGACAGGCATGAGCCATCATACCTGGCTCCTTATTTTCTATCCCTTTTTAAACATTATTATTTTTTGCTCCATATACATGCAATAACATTTGTAAATGTTATTGTGAGTTTCAATTTCTGAGGCTGTATAAATGCTTTTCTTCCTCTCTTTTATTTCTAGATGATTAATCCAGAAAGTTTATCTTGTTTTTGTCTTGTTTCTCTTTGAAGTGGGAACTTGCAAAAGATAAGACAAACTATGATTTTGCTTCTCTAAGACTATAAAAGTAACTATTTTGGAAAATAATTCAATTGAAATTTAAAAGAGACATAAGTGTTTTGATTTGCTATTGTACCTTTTAAATGCTTGAGTGTTAATTAAAAATAATTTTATTCTAAAAAGCCTAATAAAATAGAAAATATGTGTTATTTTCTTACAATGCCTAAGTAAGGTTTAGTAAAATGATATAATTTTTTTTTTTTTTTTTTGAGATGGAGGCTTGCTCTGTTGCCCAGGTTAGAGTGCAGTGGTACAATCTCAGCTCACTGCAACCTCTGCCTCCCAGGTTCAAGCCATTCTTCTGCCTCAGTTTCCTGAGTAGCTGGGACTACAGGCATGCGCCACTGCTCCTGGCTAATTTTTGTATTTTTAGTAGAGATGAGTTTCACCATATTGGCCAGGCTGATCTTGAACTGCTGACCTACTTTTTAAATCCCTGTAAAAATGTTTGGTATTATGTAGAAATATGTTTATCCAAACTTTTAGTGGAAGCAGGTATAATATATTTGGCGTTGGCTATAAAAACATGGCTCTGCTAACAAAAGTCTAATATTGAACTTATTTACCTAACCGGGAGCTGCTCTTTTGTTGCAGACTTCTGAAAGGTCTCTGATATAGTTTGGATATTCATCCCTTCCAAGTGTTATGTTGAAAATAATCCCTAATGTTGGAATGTTTGGAGATGGGGCCTGGTGGGAGGTGTTTGGGTCAAGGCTGTAAGTCCCTCAGGAATGACGTGGAGTTCTGCTTACAGGAATGAGTTCTTTCTCTGAGTTCACAGGAGATCTGGTTTTTTGAAAGAGTCTGGAATATCATCCTCCTCTCTCTTCCTCCCTCTCTTGGGAAAATCCTGCTCCCCCTTTCCTTTCTGCCATGGTTATAAGCTTCCTGAAGCCCTCACAAGAATCTGAGGAGATGCTGATGCCATGCTTGCATAGCCTGTAGAACTATGAACTCGAATTAGCCCCTTCTCTCTTTTTTTTTTTTTTTTTTAGTAGAGAAAGGGTTTCACCATTTTGGCCAGGCTGGTCTCGAACTCCTGACCTCAGATGATCGCCCACCTCGGCTTCCCAAAGTGTTGGGATTACAGGTGTGAGCCACCACGCCCACCACGCTATCAGAGTCTCACTCTGTCACACGGCTGAAGTGCAGCAGCATGATCTTGGCTCACTGCAAACTCTCGGCTTCAAGCCATTCTCCTGCCTCAGGCTCCTGAATAGCTGGGATTACAGGCACTTGCCACCATGCCCAGCTGATTTTGTATTTTTAGTAGAGACAGGATTTCACTGTGTTGGCCAGGTTGGTCTCAAACTCCTGGCCTCAAGTGGTCCGCCCGTCTCAGCCTACCAAAGTGCTGGGGTTACAGGTGTGAGCCACTGCGCCCTGCCAACCCCCCCCGCCCCACTTTTTTTTTTTTAATAAATTACTCAGTCTCAGGTATTCCTTTACAACAACACAATGGATTAACATAGTCTCTACAATAGTCCCTAAGTACACATGTAGGTTTTAGGGTGGATCCTTTAATTTTTGTAATGAACTATATATAAATTTAAATATTACTATACTTTTAATTATTTCATTACCTTTTTAGATCATTGCCATACCATGTTCACTGGGCTCAACAAGACTGTCATCTCTGCAGTCTAATTCCTAAATGTGAATCAGTAAAGTCAAGAGGATCTCTAATTTCTGCCTTTTCAAGAGATGGCCTTACTCTGGCAGTAACTCTTAATCAGAAAGACCCCAAGGTCAGTAAATATCTTAGAAAGTAATCTATAAAAGAAGTTTATAGATTTTGAGATTTTTTTTTCTTAACATTCCTTTATATTCTTTTTTTTGAGACAGGGTCTCCCTCTGTTACCCAGGCTGGAGTGCAATGGTGTGATCATGGCTTACTGCAGCCTCGACCTCCCAGGCTCAAGTGATCCTCTCACCTTAGCCGCCCAAGTAGTTGGGGCCATAGGCTTGTACCACCATGCCTGGATAATTTTTGTATTTTTTGGTAGAGATGGGGTTTTGCCATATTACCCAGGCTAGTCTTGAATTCCTGAGCTCAAGCAATTCTCCGACCTCAGCCTCCTGAAGTGCTAGGATTATAGATGTGAGCCACTGTGGCCATCCTACTTTATGTTCTTTAAGTTGGAGATGTTTAATCTAACTTGACATTGTGGATTGGTAAAGTTATTTAAATTAGCTGCCATAACTTTCAAAACTTGGCTTTCAGAAATGAAAAAAGAATAAGGGAAAAAGAGGAAAGAAGAGTAGTGTGGTAACTAATGTTCTTAAGGTAGAACATAAAAGAGCAAAGGTTATTGGGATCAATATTGCATTGCCAGTCGGGAAATACTCCCTACATAGCTTATTAATAAAATGATAGATCTCTGTATCACTAGAATTGTAAAGAATGATTACAGTAAAATAATTTTAATAGTTTTCTTGTCCTTTTTTTCATTTCTAGGCAACTCAGGTATTATTTATAAACACACTGAATTTTGTTACTCTCTGTGGTAGCCTTAAAGGGTGTAGTAACAAGAGTCCCGTTGTGCCAACTGCACTTATTAGGTAAGATCTCTTTTGTCTGTCTTTTTTTTTTTTCTTTTAAAAGAGATGGGGTCTCTGTCAGGGGTGGTAGCTCACACTTGTAATTCTAGCACTTTGGGAAACAAAGGTGGGAGGATCACTTGAGCTCAGGAGTTTGAGACCAGCCTGGGCAACATAGTGAGACCTCGTCTCTACTGAAAAATGAAAAGAAATTAGCCAGGCATGGTGATGCACACCTGTAGTCCCAGCTACTTGGGAGGCTGAGAGAGTGGGTATCACCTAAGCCTGGGTGATGAAGGCTGCAGTGAACTATGATCTCACCACTGCACTCCAGTCTGAGTCTGAGCAACAGAGCAAGACCCTGTCTCAAAAAAAAAAAAAAGAAAGGCTGGGTGCGGTGGCTCAACGCCTGTAAATCCCAGCAGTTTGGGAAGCCAATGGGGGCGGATCATCTGAGGTCAGGAGTTTAAGACCAGCCTGGCCAATATGGTGAAACCCTGTCTCTACTAAAAAAAATTACCCAGGCATGGTGGCGTGTGGCTGTAGTCCCAGCATTTTGGGAAGCCAAGGTGGGCAGATCGTCTGAGGTCAGGAGTTCAAGACCAGCCTGGCCAAAATGGTGAAACGCTGTCTCTACTAAAAAAAAAAATTAGGCATGGTGGCATGTGCCTATAGTCCCAGCTACTTGGGAGGCTGAGGCACGAGACTTGCTTGAATCCAGGAGGCGGAGGTTGCAGTGATCTGAGATCCTGCCACTTCACTCTAACCTGGATGACAGAGGGAGACTCTGTCTCACAAAAAAGAAAAAAAAGAAAAAAGAGAGCGGGATGGGGTCTTACTTGCTGCATAAGCTGGAGTGTAGTGGTGTGATCATAGCCCACTGCAGCATTGATCTCCTGGGCTCAAGCAGCCCTTCCTACCTCAGCCTTCCTAGTAGCTGGGACTACAGGTGTGTATCACTGTACATGGCTAATTAAAAAAATTTTTTTTGTAGAAACAGGATCTTGCTATGTTGACCAGGATGGTCTTCAACCCCTTGTCTTAAGTGATCCTCCCACCTTGACCTCCTAAAGTGCTGGATTGCAGGTCTGAGCCACCGTGCCCCCACTAAAAGTTGCTTTATATAAGGAAGGCCTTAAATACTTTAAGGAAGTGTCTGGTGGGGTAGAATATAACATACTTTCTTTTCTCTTTCATTTCTTTCTGTGTCTTCTTAGGAGGAGTTTAATCATGAGTAAGTAGAGAAATGTTGGGCTGAATTGGAGAGGCTGAAATGAAAAAGCCTTGTTTGGAAAGAACATTATTTAGTCAGAGAGCCTGGGTTTTTTTTTTTTTTTTCTTCTTGCCAAAAAGCGTTCTACCAGCCTGGGGGATTTATAGTGTTTAAAAATTAAAACAAATTGACAGATCCAAGATGGCCATTTAGGAACAGCTCAGGCTTGCAGCTCCCAGTGAAAGCGCAGAGGGTGAGTGGACGCCGCATTTCCAGACGGATTTTTATTGCCCACAGACCAGGAGATTCCCAGGCAGAGGAGCCCCACGGGTGGCCAGCACGACTGTTTTGGCCGGCGCGGCCGTTTAGGTCCCCGCAGCTGTTTTGGCCTTTGCGGCGCCCTGGCACGGCAGTTGTCCGTACAAAATACACTGGTCTGGGTGCCCTTTTAGCTGGCGATTGGAGCCCGGGAAGGCACAGTCGCCCATTCATCTGACCTAAAAAGGGGTCGTTAACAGGGAGCCAGGCCAGGAGACTCCTGGGCAAAAACAAACAAAAAAAGCCTGATGAATCTCAGCGCCGCAGTTTAAGCCGGAGTCGTGAGTCGCTGCAGGGGAAATCACATAGACCCAGGCGCCTTCTCAATAGGCAACTGGAACACCTGGGATAGAGTCGTTCAACTAAAAAACAAAGGCTCTGAGGCAGGGAGCCGGGTGATCAGGCCTGGCTGGTCCTACCCCCACAAAAGAACAGCAATCAGAAACTCTTTGGATTGAGAGTTTCACAGCTGAACCCAGGACAGTCCAGCTCTGTTGGGGAGGGGCGTCCGCCATTGGGGAGGCACTCCACCAATTCGGAGGTAGTCCACCATTGCTGAGGCAACCCGCCATTGCCGAGGCAACTTGCCATTACCGCGAGAGTCCGCCATTATAGAGACGGGCCACCAATGCTGAGACAGTTCTAACTACACCCATATAAACAGGACTGCAGGGAAGTTCACATGACAGCTGGGCGGAGCCCACAGTAGCTCAGCAAAGCCTCTGCAGCCAGACAGTGACTAGGCTGCTTCCTTGCTGTGCAGGGCAGCTCTGAAAAAGAAAAAAAGGCAGCAGCACAATGGAAACTCATAAATAAAGCCCTAACTCCCTGGGACAGAGCGCCTGGGGTAAAAAAAAAGGTGTTTATGAGTTCTTCTGCAGCAGACCTCAATGTACCTGCCCAGCAGCCCTGAATGAAAAGCGGAGCTCACAACTCAGCACTTGAGCTCTTGTAAAGGACAGACTGTCTCCTCAAGCAGCTCCCTGACCCCCATATATCCAAAGAGTCACCTCATGAAGGACAGATCAGACTGACACTTAGCGGGTATCCTTCTGGGACAAAGATAGCAGAAAAAGAAACTGATAGTAACCATTACTGTTCTGCAGCTGCTGCAGGTGATCCCCAGGCAAGCAGGGCCTGGAGTGGACCTCAGCAGCCCTACAGCAGAGGGGCCAGACTGTTAGAAGGAAAACTAAGAAACAAAAATAACTTCATTATCAATAAATTGGATATCCACTCAGAGACCCAGTCTGAAAGTCAGCAACTACAAAGACGACAGGTGGATAAATCCACAAAGATGGGAAGAAACCAGTGCAAAAAGGATGAAAACACCCGAAACCAGAACACCTCTCCTCCTACAAGGGTTCACAACTCCTCACCAGCAAGGGAACAAGGCTGGATTGAGAATGAATGTGATGAAATGACAGAGTCAGACTTCAGAAGATGGGTAATAAGGAACTTCTGTGAGCTAAAAGAACATGTTCTAACCCAATGCAAAGAAACTAAGAACCTTGAAAAAAGATTTGAAGAAATGCTAACGAGAATGGACAAATTAGAGAGGAATATAAGTGGAGCTGAAAAACACCACACGAGAACTTCGCGAAGCATATACAAGTTTCAACAGCTGAATTGACCAAGCAGAAGAAAGGATATCAGAGGTCGAAGATCAACTCAATAAAGTAAAACGAGAAGACAAGATTAGAGAAAAGGGCTAAAAAGGAATGAACAAAGTCTCCAAGAAATGTGGGGCTATGTGAAAAGACCTAATCTATGCTTGATAGGTGTACCTGAATGTGACGAAGAGAATGAATCCAAGCTGGAAAATACTCTTCAGGATATTATCCAGGAAAACTTCCCCAACCTAGCAAGGCAGGCCAATATTCAAGTCCAGGAAATACAGAGAACACCACAAAGATATTCCTCAAGAAGAGCAATCCCAAGGCACATAATTGTCAGATTCAACAGGGTTGAAATGCAGGAGAAAATGCTAAGGGCAGCCAGAGAGAAAGGTCGGGTTACACACAAAGGGAAGCCCATCAGACTCACAGCAGATCTCTCAACAGAAACCCTAAAAGCCAAAAGAGAGTGGGGGCCAATATTCAACATCATTAAAGAAAAGAACTTTCAACCCAGAATCTCCTATCCAGCCAAACTAAGCTTCATAAGTGAAGGAAAAATAAAATCCTTTGGGAACATGCAAGTACGCAGAGATTTCATCACCACCAGGCCTACTTTATAGGAGCTTCTGAAAGAGGCTCTACACACAGAAAGGAACAACCAGTACCAGCCACTCCAAAAACATACCAAATGGTAAAGAGCATCAACACAATGAAGAATTTGCATCAACTAATGGGCAAAACAGCCAGCTAGCATCAAAATGGCAGTATCAAATTCACACATAACAATATTAACCCTAAATGTAAATGGACTAAATGCCCCAATCAAAAGACACAGACTGGCAAATTGAATAAAAAGCCAAAACCCATCAGTGTGCTGTATCCAGGAAACCCATCTCATATGCAAGGCTACACAAAGGCTCAATGTAAAGGGATGGAGGAAGATTTACCAAGCAAATGGAGAGCATAAATAAGCAGGCGTTGCAATTCTCGTCTCTGATAAAATAGACTTTAAGGCAACAAAGATCAAAAGAGACAAAGAAGGACATTACATAATGGTAAAAGGATCAATGCAACAAGAAGAGCTAATGATCCTAAATATATAAGCACCCAATACATAAGGCAAGTTCTTAATGACTTACAAAGAGACTTAGACTCCCACACAATAATAGTGGGAGATTTTAACACCCCATTGTCAATATTAGCAACCATTGTGGAAGACAGTGTGGCGATTCCTCAAGGACCTAGAAATAGGAATTCCGTTTGACCCAGCAATCCCATTACTGGGTATATATCCAAAGGATTATAAATCGTTCTACTATAAGGACATATGCACATGAATGTTCATTGCAGCATAGTTTAAAATAGCAAAGACCTGGAACCAACCCAAATGCCTATCAATAATAGACTGGACAGGGAAAATGTGGCACATATACACCATGGAATATTACGCAGCCATCAAAAATGATGAGTTTGTGTCCTTTGTAGGGACATGGATGAACCTGGAAGCCATCATTCTCAGCAAACTGACACAGGAACATAAAATCAAACACCGCATGTTCTCACTCATAGGTGGGTGTTGAACAATGAGAACACATGGACACAGGGAGGGGAACACTACACACTGGGATCTGTTGGAGGGAAATAGGGAGGGATAGCGGGGGGTAGAGAGGTGGGGGGGACGGCATGGGGAGAGATGCCAGATATAGGTGAGGGGGAGGAAGGCAGCAAATCACACTGCCACGTGTATACCTGTGCAACAATCTTGCATGTTCTTTACATGTACCCCAAAACCTAAAATGCTATAAAAAAAAATAAAGGAGATATTGGGCTGGTACGGTGGCTCACACCTGTAAACCCAACACTTTGGGAGGCTGAGACAGGAGAATCATTTGAGTCTAGAAGTTTGAGATCACCCTGAGCAACATAGCGAGATCTTACCTTTACAAAAAATAAAAATAAAAACTTAGGCATGGTGTTATGCACCTGTAGTACCAGTAACAGCTACATGGGAGGCTAAGGTGGGAGAATCACTTGAGCTTGGGCTGTTGAGGCTCACCACAGTTGTGCTACTGCACTCCAGTCTGGGCAACAGAGTGAGACCTCTTCTCCAAAAAAAAAAAAAAAAAAGAGGAAAAAGGAAATGTTAGTCTTCCAGTGTGAGCCTGCCTATTTTGACTTACTAAAATTTACTTTTTATAATTCCAAAAAAAAAAAATAAATCAGTTAACCAAGGACACAACCAGTATACATGTGCTTCAGAGAATATTTAGAAGTGTGGTATAGGAGGAAAGTGACAATCAACTCTCTGAGAAGACTGAATCAGGAAGAATGCTAAGATTCTTTTGAAAAAGAAACACACAGACAAAAAAAGGCAGTGATTGAAATAGTCTGACGAACATGCTATATGCTTACGCACCCGTCCTCTGTTTCTTTTCATCTCCTATGGCTAGATTTCTGCAATTCTTGACAAAAATGTATAGCCCACCAGTTTTGTAGCAGTAGCTTATACGGAGAAGGATTTCACCACTGACTTTCACATTGCCATAGTCTCCTGTTTCACTGTAAACACTCATAATGCTGTTAAGGCTGGTCTGGAATAAACAAGATGGAAAAAGGAAAAAAAAATTAAAACAAATT